AAGCTAGTTTCATTCTCCTCCTTTTAATCCCTTGCAATACTGGAAATTCTTTTTTGAGATGAGGTAAGAAAACCTGGACACGTCTAGATGAAGATGTGTAGGTATTTTTACAGCAGTGTCACTGAATTTAGTCTAGTGCATGGATGGGTGAAGTAGTGAAAAAAATAAGCCATTTTGCGTGGCAGTGTTTTCAGTATCCACGGTGGTATCATTTGAAGTTGTACACCTCTGAGAAGAGCAGTCTAGAAAGCCCCAAAATCACTGGGATGGGAGATAACATCGCAGGCGACGAGATGCCATATCCTCGTTTCTTCAGGAAATTAATTGGAAAGCTGACATTATATGTTGGCATCAAGGAAAAACAAAGGCAACAAGAAGCATAAATAGCATGTTTTTTTATCATAAAGGTTTTCGTACTATTGGGAAAAGAGCAAAAGTTTGTCCTGTCTGCTGGTACAAGCTCAGTTTGTGATGTAAACTAATACTTTTGACAAGCGAAGTCTTCTGTTGTGAAGATGTAACTAGTTTTAAATTAAATGCTTTTCTTTCTTTTTCTAGAGAGCTAAAGTATTGGCCACATCTGCTTCTGGATTTCCTGGGTTTACTCCTCAGTCTATTCTCAGATCCAGCCTTCGCACCACACCCCTTGCAACTCCTTCTGCATCTCCAGGGCGATCAGTTACTCCTCCTCTACGAGCAAAGGAACCTAGAATATCTTTCATGGAAGAGAACTCGAATGCAGAAGGGACTGTTGGGGTAAGCTGGGCTGTAGTTAGTGATTTTTACAGATAATGGCTTTAAAGGCTGTGATTTGATGTAGATTTTTCCCAAGTTTGCCAAAACTCCTTTGAGTTGTGAACTGGAATTGCAAATGAGAATGGAGCCTTCAATTGCTCGTTCAGCTTCCTGCTACACCTTTTCAAATGGTGGTATGGCCGGAAGGGGAGGAGTACAGATTGTGCCAGTTGTTTGGGTTTGTGAAGCTTTGTGAATTAAACACCTTTGAAAGTAACAAAAGTGATGAGCTGCATTTCCCTTCAGCCTCTTTTGGCAGAGCTGGGTTTACTTACATCATGGTAACAACGGACTCTGGATAAAGAGAGCTATACTGTTGTCTGTTTCCTGGACCTAAAGTTCTTGGATTTGTTTCCTGCCTTGCACCAGGGATAGCATTCGTCTAGTTATCAAATGAAGTTGGTCCATCTGACAGTTGCCCCTTCTACTCCTCCTTTTGTACTATCGCTTGGATTCCCTGGTTCATCATACAGTTGCTGAAGCGATGTACCAAAACGCGGGGCAGAACAGGGGCATGTGCTCGTAGCCACATGTATGAGCTTTCTGTACGTGTGCTAACAAACTGTCATAATCTGGTTTTCTTACACCTTGCATTGTCCGCTCTAAAGAATGACTCAATTGTAACAAGAGGCTGTCTCTTCTATATGAAGTTCTTACTAATAACGCAGTGTGACCAGATTAATTGACTTGTTCCATGCTACAGGCATAGTGAACACTAAAATATTTTAGTAGTGCAACCAAGCGGAAAAGGCAGGCATTAAAAAAAAAAAAAAAATAGAGAGAGAGAGAAATCTTGAGGTATGATTTTAGGTATGCGAAGCTCCCTCATCTTGAAAGCACAGTAGCGAACCCAATGAACAGCCTTGAGATGAGAGAGTATAAGCAAGCACTTACAAGACCCACTGCCTCGCAATTCTCCCGAGTTCGAGGAACTCAAAAGTGTGATTAATTTTTACACTTGGCTTTAGAAGCTAAGACAGTGCTAAAAGGGAATTAATTTTGTCATGCCTTCCTTAGGCTGACGCGTGTAAAACTGCAAAATGTTGCTATGCATTTGTTCTTTTTTCTTGCTTTGCCAAAAAGCATATGTGTGTAATTGATTGTAAACTTTTTTTTTTACTCAAAAAGGTAAGAGAAGATGGTAAAGCACTACCTGGAGCTTTGTCTGAGTATCATCATGAAGTGGAAGAGGGTGCTTGGTCTGAAAGTAGAGAGAAAACAACTCTATTTAGTCTGAGCAATCCTGAGGATGATTGTACTGAAATGGAAGAGTATTCAGAAAGCATTCCTGGAGATGGTTTGGAGAAAATGGATGTTAGCAAAGAAAATAGTAACTTCTCTGCCAGATCTGACCAAACTACTTTGGAGTATCATGATGCAAAATCACCCGGTGATTTTGAAGATGATGTCATCTTTATAGCTGCTAAACCAGCTAATTCTTCCACTAAAGAACCGACCTGTGCTCAAGAATTGGAGAAGGAAGAAGACGGTGAAATGGTTGAAAATAAACTCTTCCAGATGGAACAACCAGATTCATCAGAACTAAAAATAGAAGCTGGTGTGTTTCATCCTATGATAACCTAAGTTTCTGAATTTTTCAAATGTCTTTGAAAGGTTAAATTACTGATCAGTGCAGCAGTTACCGATGAGCATCCACAAGTGTCCTAGGCACTTGCTTGTTCTAGGCTTTTAAAATTGCCACTGTGTTTTGAGCACTTTTTTAGGTATCCTGGATATTATGAATGTATACTGCTTTTGCCTGGCATTTCTTATGTGTAATTTGCAGCTGAGAGGCAGCAGTGATTCATGGGAGTTTTGAGAGGCATACAAGTTGAAAACTTAGGCTTCTGGTTATGTTTTATTTTAGGAGTACTTCTGTAGGCTGCAGGGATTTTTATAGGAAGTTTAGTGCATGGCATGCTTTGACTACATAGAGTTTTTTTTTTATTTTATTTTTTTTCCCCCCACCTCATTAGTGTTCAGTTAAATAGTTTTCTTCTGGAAGTAGTCTGCTTGTGTGTCTGCTTCTCAGTAAAGCTATGGTTGCTCATTTTGCTGGCTCAACAGCTTACACAGCCTTTCCAAACCTATTTCAGTTGGTCTTTGGCAATTCAGCTCAATTCCACTCATTGCAGCCAGTCCATCTGCTGAGGATGTGTTCATATGAGCAGGTCTACTGGCAGATTAGAAGAGATGTAGTTCACTAGCTGGTGAGCAGTGATGAAGAGCTGGGAATGAAAGTACTGCAGGAGCAGGGAGAAGATGTGCAAGCACAGCTGCAGACAGTGTTTGACAAACAGAACTCGGTCCATTCAACTCTTTATAAACAAGTTTGCTGTTTCTTGGAGATGTATGCAAGTGTTGGAGTTCTGTGTCTGAAGTCTTGAAGCAGTTCGTAGCAGTGAGCATGTGCTCCAGTATCAGTGCATCGTATGCACCCTGATTCAGTCCTAAGTCCCAGATGATTCTGGAGGATCCTGGAGAGTGATTGTTGCTATTGAAGTTCCTCAGCTCCTTTTCTTTTTAAATAACAGGAGTGCCCAGATACAGACTTCACATACATGAGTAAAAGGAATGCTCTGGCTCCGAGTGTTTCTAGTAAGACAGGTCAAAACCTTTGTTGGTCCTATTTTAGAAATCAAAGGTACTTTTCATTAAAAATAAAGGTGAGGTAGTAATCGTTAAACAATAACTTCATATAGAAACTTTGTCATTGCTGGACTATGGTACAGTTTCAGTACTCTGGAAGCATTAGAGGGCAGTCAGTATAGCTCTTGTTTGGCCAGAGCTAGCAAAATTATCCCAGTCCTGCATACTGTCTACGAAGGGAATTTCTGGATCTGGAGGAAGCAGGCAGTAGAAGCAACGAAGAAAAGGCAGATGTTTCTAAAATACAGCTTGTTGAGATAAAAACAGGTTAGCAGGCAGTTGGGTTTCAACACCACCAGTCAATCACTAGAGAAAAGAACAAGGAAAGACTTTGGATGCGTTCTTGTAGAAGAGGGGAAATGGAGTCAAGAAAGGAAAGAAGCACTGCTGGAATGACATAAATAGTCGAAGAGAAATAAAGAAAACTTACTACCCAGTTTTAAGAGGGAGGGATGTTTTGTGAAGTTTTTATGTATTAGATCAGTAACAGATCAAGTTTAGTTTGTTAAGAGAGTATCAACAGTCCTTGTGTTAACTGAAATCATGCATCAGAGTTCTTGTTCTACTGGAAAGAAGAAGTCAGATCTTCTGTGCATTTGCAGTCCTGGTAGCATTATTTTGTTGGATCACTATGCTCCCTTTAAAGTCATAGGAGCATTGTAAAAGCAACAGTGTTAAGTGCAACAGGGAAGTCATCCATCTGTCTATTTTTGTAGGTTTAGTGGAAGAATCAAGTGCTGGATGTCTTACCTTTTCTGAGGATGGTAAATTGGTGTTTAAAGCTGCCGAGGCTGCTCCTTTTAGGACTGAAAGTGAAAGGTAAGTTTAGACAACAGAGACATCTTTAGGTTCACACAATGTGTAACTGCTGACTTTCCTGTGTTGGAAAACTATGAGTTTGACCTGGTATTGGTTCTTCCGTGTGTTCTTAAGTACAACGGCTTTTGTATTCCTTTCTGTCTGGCAACAGAACTAATTTGGCATGAATAGAAGTCAAATTGACTAGCTGTCAATTGGAGCCTTTTTCCTCAAATGATTGCAGACCCCAAAGTGTGTTGAAAAAGACTTCATTCAACAGCCCATATAAACCTTTTTTACAGTTTGAGGGTTGCTAAGCAGGTACTGTGAACATAAGCCCTGCTTTTGCTGGACAATTGTGTAGCTAAAAATGACACCTGAGAGTCCTGTAACTTTAGCAGATTTATTTGGGGGTTTGAATACTTTCTGGCAGTATTTTATACACTTAATTACTCTTTTCTGTGTGTGCTCAATTAGCATCTGTTTGTTTATGGAAAGGGAAGCAGTTTTCTCACCAGATACTTGGAAGCTGCAACTGCTTGGTGATAAAGAGAGAATGTTAGCAGTGAAATAACCCTTCATTTCAAGTGGTAACTTAGACTGGTACAAACTTGTTCACTTTATTCTAGACTTCCAGTATAGCAGCTGTGCTCTTTCTACAGAAGACAAATAATATATTATTCTTTAATACAACTCTGTTGTTATGTTATTACCTAGTGTTAGATAGCTAGACAGAGTGTTAAGTACTTGGCTCACTGCATAAAATGAGTCACAAATTGAATGTAGGTCTGTTGGTAAAGAACTTTATAGTTTTTCTTATTTTTTTTACTTTTTGAAACTTGGAAGATTTTTACAGTGAGAAAGTAATTTTTAAAGCTCTTCAAGGTTTGTTTTGAAGCTTTATGATGAATTTCTCTCTTTCTGTTCATGAAGTGAAAGAAACCACCAGGAGTCCAAAATGTCCTCTTCGTCAGAAGAAAAAGCCATACCCATTGCAACAAATCCACAGCTTTCTGAATCCCCGGAGGCAGACAGTGAATGTACGTACGTTATGTTGGAGATGTTGTGGGATTTGAGGTATCTAAGCTCCAGAAGTGAAATGTGTAGTTTACCATACCACTACACGTGTCTCAGACTGAAGCAGTACTAGCATGTTACTGTTAACTCTCATTGAACTGCAGAGAGAAGACCCTCCTCAGAGAAAGTCCTTATAGAAAATGCATAGTGATAAGTTCCTGCTCTTGATAAAGATATTGAAAAGCTGTTAGAATTTAAACTAGTAGGAGAGATCAGTATTTATTTTAATGTTGTACACCACTATTTGTGTGCTATGAGATCTGCTGCTGGACTTACTATTGTAAAAGATGACGCATCTTCGGTATTTAGGCTTTGAAGAATAACTAGCTATCAGTACGCCTTTCTAGCCACCCTTTTCTCTAAGGACTTGCCAGCTGATTTTTTTTCCTTGCTCTTTTTTAAATGGTGGGGCTGCTTCCTTGACCAAGAGAGAGAGTTCTGGCTTCTAGTTTTTGGAGAAAGCCCAGTATATGTGGCGGGATGGAGAACTGTGGTGTTGGCTCCTGCTCCTATTCCCTCTGCTTCCTGTGTTACTTCCTGTTGTTTAAACCTGTGTCATTTATATGGCAGTTAAGTTAAAATTATATAAATCTTTTCCAGCTGTGATAAGTATCCTTGACAGTGAGGATGTGGTGAGTACTCATTCAGAAAAATGCCTTGAGGGGAAGCGTGTGGATTTACCTGAAGAACGTAACCTAGAAGCAGCTGAAGTTGAAGAAAATGTTCCTTTTCCGCAGGAAGAATTAACCAATTCTAACAATCTTCCTAAATCTGAGGAAATCCATGTAAGTGAACTATTTTTCTGTTTTCGACAAAATAGAAGACACTTTGCAAATTGAGGACAGTCCTGTCTTGCTGACTGTGAGAAGGCACAGAAAAGCACCTCAGTTTCTTTAGCTGGTTAACACAAGTTAAAACCTCATTATGTAAGGGCAGATACATTTTTCTCTGATGCATTTTCTGTACCTAGAACACAGAATAGAACTTATCAAGACTTGAACCTTTGAGAGCAGTAGTAGTACAAAAAAAAAATGCCTAAACTATATTTTTTAAATAACCATGCATTAATTTGGTTTACTAGAACTTAAACATTTCTTATTTGACTTAAAAAAAAAAAAAAGTAGTTTTAATGATAAAGACAGTAAGAAAAGCTGAGGGGTGCAGCTTTTTGATACTGGAGACCATTTGCCAAATAACAAAATTATGTGGGAACCAAACTCATTTTCAGAATGATTTAGGTGCTTAGAGCCTTTACTGTTTGATAATAAGCTACATAAACAGAATTCCCAGTAATGCATTAATTTCAGTGTCAAGATATTTCCAACTACCTAAAACTTTTTTTTTTTAAAAAAAACCCATTTGTTTTTAACATCTAAACATTGTAAAATACAAATTTTAAAAGGTTGTTCACATGGACAGAGAATTAGAAGTAGAGATTCTCCAGTTATCCCAGGTTTTTCCCTGTGTTCTTACTTGTACTGGGGCTGATGAGTTATTTGGATTCATTATGGCTGTCCTCTAAGTACCATAGAGAGTATAGTGTCCATTTCCTATAGGATATATACTCACAGGGAGTAATAATAGACTGAAATACAAACTGAAAGGTAGATGTACCACAAGTAGATTGGTCTTAAGTAACAGAAAATGCTTTTCAGTGTCCTGAGTTTCTGATAAAGTTCAGTAGGCAGTCACTTACTTAGCTTGTCTTGGCTTTGGGATTTAGGACAGTGCTGTAGAGAAGATGGTTACAGACGGGAATACCTAAATCACTTATGGGAGTAAATGGAAAATTTGTGATGGGAAGAAGAGAGCAAGTACATGAGACGATCACAAAGCTTCTGCAGTCATTCATGTAGCAGTACAGTGAAGGTTTTTCTGCTTTTGTTATAACTGGTTCTTACTGATGTTTACTATGTCAACATCTCTGGCTTGTCTGCCTTCACTGAATTTAGAACAAACTATGTTCTGCTTTCTTGTTTGTAGATGTGTAAGCATGAAAGGAAAGTTTCTGCAGACTAGTATTTCTTGAACTTAGGTTTGAAGTGTGGCATGTTGCTTTAGCAACTTTTGACAAGGCAGGAGGCAAGAAAATAGGCAGATTCTATGGAGACTCCTGCTGAGTGGCTTCTTCCTTCTGCCATCATTAGCTAGCAGGGTTAACTTAGTAACTTAGAGGGCTGGGCAAAGGTCTGTACACATTGATTAAGTTCTCTTGACCGTTTGAGTCACTTGAAGTACATAACAGATAGTACATCTGTTCTCACCATAAAAACTTGATATCTCATGTGTATCTAGAAGGAAGGAATAATTGCTGAGTCCAGGGAGCTACAAAATGTGAGATGGAGGGATTTAGAATATACATGTTGTCTTGTGCAATCCAAGTGATTCCTTAAGTGCAGGGTTGAATTGTCAGATGTGATACCTGACCAGTTTGACTAAGTGTTGCAGTCACAACTGCTACGACTGAAGCTTTGTACTTTGAGGATGTAATTGTATTTTACCGTGTTAGGTGCACAGTTGGTCACTCTGTGTGCAGTACTTTCTGGACTGACTACACGTCCAACGTGATGATTCCTGACGGTTGTGTATGCAGCTTGAATGGTAAAACTGCTCACTTTGTGCACGGGTAGTGGCAAATCACTAGTGATGAACAGACGTATTGGAGATGGAGCATGTGATTGCATACACTGAATACTCTGTCCCTTAAGCACAACTTTTATCTGTAGTAGAGAGTACATTGTAGGTTTCTAACTTTACATTCAGTGGTGAGCTGAAAAGAAAAGCCACATTTCACTGTCCTCAGTTTCATCCAGCTCAGCTTGAAGTTAGTCTGTTTGTTAACTAATAATGCATTAATAGACATTTTGTGACTTTAGGTTACTGAAGACAGTGCGGTTAAGGCACAAGCCTCAGAAGAAGCACCTGAAGCATCACCATATAGTGAACTACATCCATCAAGCAATCTTCAATACAGCTATGATACTATAGAGCAACAGTTTGCATGTGATTTGCCTGATAATGGAGATGGTGAATGTGATGCAGCTGAGGGAGATGGAGAGCTTTTTATACCTCAGAGTAATTTTACTTTAGTCTTGGAAGGAGAAGAAGGTGAAGCAGAGATGGAAGACCCTACATTAGTAGATGCTTCTAAACCAACTGGCACAACAACAGGGGAAAAATCTGTGAAAAGTTTAGGAAATACCGAAAACCAGGAACAGGTTACCAACTCAGTGTCCACTGTAACTAGTGATCAGGAAGCTCAGAATATTGCAGAGTCACTTCCATATGTGCCTGAACCCATTAAGGTAGCTATTGCTGAGAATTTACTGGATGTGATCAAAGACACAAGAAGTAAAGAATTTACTTCTGAAGTTGTAGAACAGTCTATTAATGAAACCATAAGTAAAAAGGTAACTAGATTCCAGAAGGCAAAAGCTCCCTTAACAACTGTGCCAGAAGGAGTGGAAGATGAAACCAGCAGACATCAAGCAGAGTATGTTGTCACTCCTAGAACACGCGCAAGGGGACAACGGAGTAGAAACCCAAGTATTCCGCTGGCGAGCGATCAGCAACTAGTGAGGACAGACAAACCAGTTCTGTTCGGATTGTCTCCTAGGAGAAGTACCAGGCGGACAAAAGAAGCATCTGGGACTTCTAGTCTTCAAACAGCAGAAAATGCTAAAGATGAGCAGGTACCTGTGATGCCTGTTACTCCGAGGAGAGGGAGGAAGCCTAAACTCAGTAATGTAGAAAAAGTAGAAAGCAGCCATTCTGATGGACAAACGTTGTCTGTCAGTGCACAGTCCGTAGCTGTTACTCCAAGAAGAGGAGTAAGGAGAGCAAAGGAAGCTGCATCTGAACTCTTGGAAGAGGCTAGTGAGGAAACTTCTCTTGCTGAAGGTAGCATTATTGCTTCTGCTCCTTCCAGAAGGACTAGAGGAGGACAAAGTTCAGGAGGAGATCAAGAAACCAGCCAGACTGACAGTGATCATCAGATAAGAACGGCAGTCAGTGCCAGCAGAAGGGCAAGAAAACTGCAAAGCATGAATTTACAATTCACTGAAAGTGCTGTCAGGGATCAAGAGGTACAGCCTAGTGACCAGGTCCTTTTACCTGTGCCAACTAAAAGGGGCAGGAGAAGAAAGATGAGTTCATCGGAAGTTTCAGAAACTTCTGACCTGGATCTGTCTAAATCATCACTTCCTCAAACAGAATTTAAACTTCCTGTCACTCCTAGAAGAAGTGCTAGGAAGGGGGCACAAAATCTCTTGGCAGACACAGAATCTCTCTCTGCTCAGGAGGACAAACATTCAGGTGCAAAAGTGGAAATCCTTGATACTCCTAGGAGAACAAGAAGAAGAGTTACACATGTGGAAGCCGAAAAAAGGGATGCTCATGAGCCAACGCCGGCACAGCCAAGTGAGGAATCGGCCAGAGCCAGGACTGCAGTGCGGACAGGGCGTCGAGGCAGAAAGAGACGATCAGTACTGGAGGAGAGCACAGGGGAGGAGGGCTTCTCCCAAGGGCCTGATGGCAGTCCTTTGCTGCTTGAAGGCATAAGCCCACCAAGACATGATGAAGCATCCAGAACTTTAACAGATCGTATTACAAGAACCAGATCTCGCAAAGCTGCCGTGCATCAGAAGCGGTCTGTTGAGGAAAATGAGTCCTTCCTTTTCTCTCCTCCTCTCACAAAGCTGACAAAGAAGTTCACAGGTAGGTGCACGATTTCTATATGCAAAATAGGGCATATTGCTGTTTTGTAAACCACAGGATAGAAACCGTGAGGGTGGCTTTAAAGACATCTTTATGTTGTGAAGAATGTAATCGTACCA